AGGCACCGTACTCAGCAATCGGCCTGCAAATAAATGCAAGCAAAAGTCAAGAGTCTGGAGAAAAATGTGCCCTACCTATGGTTCCCCCCCCCCCCAGGCCACTGGCAGCAGCCATAACTCAGGACATGGCCTCCCAGCACACGCCAAGGCCGGGCATCTGTCTGTGGGATTCAAGGGTCCTGCATAGCAATAAATTCACCCACTTCCCTGCTGAGACCAATAAATCCAGCCGGCTGAATGCTCTGTAACTCAGCTGTGCAGAATTCAACACACTTCTCTGGGGATGCAAGAACACGCCATGCCACGAAGGGTCATCGTGACATTCCTACTCTAGCCCCAAGATCCAGGAGACTGTGGTATGGACTCAGTCACTCTGGAGACACGAGACAGCCACAGGCAAGCCATCATCGAGCTCCTTTCTGGGCTACATAGCCAGAGACGGCTGCCACCCCAACTCCACATCCCAAGCCCTCTGGTGGCAAAGATGTCTTATGGATGCCTGGAGAGATGCCATCTTTGAGATGCTGATGCAGCCAGCCACTGCTCCAGGCCTTCTAGACTTTTCTCAGTGCTGTGTGACCAATGATACTAGCTGCTTCTATGGTGGTATGTTTACAAATGAACACAATTGCGAAGCCCCGGGAAGGACTGTTGTTAGCATCACGCCTGGGTCTCTGGCATTAGCTATGCTCATAGCACGGCCTGTGATGAGAGGAAGTCTCCCTCCTGCTCCCACAGCCTTGGCCCAGCCTGTGTCCTGGCCCTCTCTGCTGAAGTCTCCTTCACCACCTTCTGGCTGACTGTGTGTGGCTTTTCTGCATGGCCCTTGGGCTCCATCCTGGCCTCCATGGACACAGCTTCCACAGTCCCCAGAGGGGACTGGAGAGTTGGCCCCCCTCTCTAGCTTTCCATTTCTTGGTGCTCTCCCTGTCCATCCGTCCATCTGACTTCCCATGCACCCTGCAGTGACCGCTTACAGTCCTTTGCACCCTCCTCCTTGGGGTTTGGGTGCATGGGTGTGACCCGAGCTCATGGCCACCCCTGGGTACAGAGGGAGATGCAGGACAGTTGTGCAGGGGCTCTACACACAGCTGTGGGAGGCAGAGAGGCAGGGGAGGGCCCGGGAATGAGGAGCAGCATTAAATAGCAGAGTAGACTGAGGCAGAGTTCTGAGCCTGTGCAGAACCCAGAAAAGAGTGGATGTGGGTCAGAAGGAGAGAGGAAACCTCCAGGAAGTCCCAGATCTCAGGGGGGAACAAAAGGGCCAGGATAGAGGCCCCGAAATCACAGGAAGACTGGTGGCGGTGGATTCACGTGATTGGGAGAACAAGGAGGGGCGGGTGCTGGAGGAGGGTAGGTGTGACCTTCTCTCTGTGGGAGGAAGCTCTTCTGTGTTGGCACACTGGGAGGAAGGAGTGAGAGAGCCAAGGAGGGGAGTTAGGGCAGCCACCTTGAAAGCATGTGGAGTAGGCTGAGACTTGCAGGAAGAGAATAAGGGCGGAGGCTGCCCAAGAGCCTGCCCCTCAGACTGTCAGACACCGTCAGGGTCCTGCTGAGAGGACAATACAGGGGCCGCTGGGGTCTAGGACGACCCTTGGCAACACAACAGAGACTACTTCCCCAGCCAGGGCTGCTTTCCAGGCTTCAGAAGGGGGGCCTTCCTCCTCCTCTTCCTCCTCCCTCTCCCTGCTCTTCCTCCTCACCCCTTCTCTTTCTCCTCCTCTTCCTTTCCCCTTCTCTTCCTCCTCCTCCCCCCTCTTCCTCCTCCTCATCCCCCTCTTCTCCCCTTCTCATCCTCCTCTTCTTTCTCCTTCTCCTCTTCCTCCTCCTCCTTCTCTTCCTCCTCCTCCTCCTCCCTCTGCATCTTTCAGAAAGAAAAACTAAAACTGCTGAGTCCTTGCTCTGCTCCAGGGCTGGGAACGTTCCTGGGTCGTTTCCATGGCAACCCATGGACCTGCTTCTTCCTTTTGGCTCAAAGTGTTCAAGCCTGGAGCATTCTCACCTCACCCTAAGGGCTAGCCGTGAACACAGCCAGGTCTCGCGATTTCCAGATGTGGTTTAGGCTCTAAAAACCTCTGTCTTCCTCAGTAACTTCAGTGCCCACACCCCTCTCTGCTGGCCTCTCCCCTCTCCCTACTTTCCCCATTCTCTTCCCCCACATCTCTCTCCCTCCCTCCCCCCTCTCTCTCCCTTCCCCTTCTTCTTCCCACCCCTCACACACACATTTTATCTTCTGATGCCCAAGTGACAGTCCCTCACTCTTAGAAGGGACTATAGAAAATCTCCAAATCTTACCTAGCACGCCACACTCCTTCCGCAGCTGTTACAGGTTGTGTGGTCACGGGTCCCGTTCTCTCTCCTCTATGTCTGTGGTCACAGGTCCAATTCTCTCTCCTCTATGTCTGTGGTCACAGGTCCAGTTCTCTCTCCTCTATGTCTGTGGTCACAGGCACTGTCTCTATGTCTGTGGTCGACTGGTCCCGTTCTCTCTCCTCTATGTCTGTGGTCGACTGGTCCCGTTCTCTCTCCTCTATGTCTGTGGTCACAGGCACTGTTCTCTATGTCTGTGGTCACGGGTCCCATTCTCTCCCTATGTCTGTGGTCACAGGCACTGTTCTCTATGTCTGTGGTCACGGGTCCCATTCTCTCTCTCTGTCTGTGGTCGACGGGTCCCGTTCTCTCTCCTCTATGTCTGTGGTCACAGGCACTGTTCTCTATGTCTGTGGTCACGAGTCCCATTCTCTATGTCTGTGGTCGACTGGTCCAGTTCTCTATGTCTGTGGTCACGAGTCCCATTCTCTCTCTATGTCTGTGGTCACGGGTCCAGTTCTCTCTTCTCTCTCCTCTATGTCTGTGGTCACGAGTCCCATTCTCTCTCTATGTCTGTGGTCACGGGTCCCGTTCTCTCTCCTCTATGTCTGTGGTCACAGGCACTGTTCTCTATGTCTGTGGTCACGGGTCCCATTCTCTCTCTATGTCTGTGGTCGACTGGTCCCGTTCTCTCTCCTCTATGTCTGTGGTCACGGGTTCTGTTCTCTCTCCTCTATGTCTGTGGTCACAGGTCCAGTTCTCTCTCCTCTATGTCTGTGGTCACGGGTTCTGTTCTCTCTCCTCTATGTCTGTGGTCACAGGTCCAGTTCTCTCTCCTCTATGTCTGTGGTCACGGGTTCTGTTCTCTCTCCTCTATGTCTGTGGTCACAGGTCCAGTTCTCTCTCCTCTATGTCTGTGGTCACGGGTCCAGTTCTCTCTCTTCTATGTCTGTGGTCACGGGTCCAGTTCTCTATGTCTGTGGTCACGGGTCCAGTTCTCTATGTCTGTGGTCACGGGTCCAGTTCTCTATGTCTATGGTCACAGGCACCGTTCTCTATGTCTGTGGTCACGGGTCCCGTTCTCTCTCCTCTATGTCTGTGGTCACGGGCACCATTCTCTCTCCTCTATGTCTGTGGTCACGGGTCCCGTTCTCTCTCCTCTATAAGTTGTTTCAAAGCCCAGAGTTGGCTTCAGCGGACCCAGTGTAGAAGCGTGTTTTCCATTTCACCAAGCGCCATGGAACTTGCGAGTGTCCTAAGAGCCCTGCCCCCCCCCCCCAGTATCTCCAGACTTCTCTATTCCTCGCAGGCACATGCCCTAGTTTATGGAACCAGTACTCTGTTATGAGCTTATTAAACAAACTGCTTCCCTGCCCTCCTGGACATGAGCTTCACAACTTGAGGATACGTTTTCCAGCTGTCTATTCTGAGGTCATTGCTGACCCAGCCCATCACACGGGCTACCCCGCTCTGTTCCACCCACAGGCAGAACTCTCCCCCGGGGCCTTTGTTTCTCGGGCCTGGGTCATCATCCTCTCCTGTCCCAGTTCCTTCTCCCTAGCGAGGCCTTACTTGCCTCCTCTGCAAGCCACATTTTTGCCACTTTGTTTTGTGTGACAGCCTTACGGTGCAGCCCAAGCTGACCTAGGACTCGGCCAGGCTCAATCTGGGGCAGTCCTCCAGCTTCAGCCTCCTGGAGGCTAAGCTCACAGGAGTATGCCACTGGTTATGGCCAAGTCCACCTTCTTGCTCCGTTAATCTGCGTGTCCCTTGACTATGGCCTCCCTTCTCCTCTAGGGAGCACGATCAGTTTTCAGCCCAGTCTCTGCCTGTCGTGTTGTGTTTCTCAGTAATCATGAAGAGGCAGGGATAACGTTTTTCTGGCTGACCTCTCCATAAAACTAAGCACATGCCATGATACCTGCCATGCCAAAAGTGTTCAGTTGATAGTGGAGATTGCCTCTTCTCGATCACACAGTGGAGTAGCATTCGGTCATAAAAAGGAGGGAGGTTCAAAACCTCTAGGCTCAGGGAAAGAAGCCAGACACAAAAGGCCACCGATGATGGAACATCATTTACATGAATTGTCTGGAATAGGCAAATCTGGGGAAACAGAAAGCAGGCAGGAGTCTGGGGAGGCTGGGAGAAAGGACAGAGTAACAGGTGGCCTTCTGCAATTGGGTGGTAGAGACAGTTATTTTCAGTTTCATGAGGCTGTCAAAACCTTGGGCTTGTTTTCTTCAAGGGCAAAGTTTATGTGTATGGTCTATATTTCAATAACAGCATCTTTATGGAGTCCCTCCATTTATACCTCAGCAGCAAGGCTTCACACAGGATCAGTTGGTAACAGTGAGCAGCCTTGCATTGGGAGTTACTCATCACCAACCTCAGGTCCCGTGGCTCAGGGCATTGGCAGTCATTTCCCCCAGAAATGAAAAAGCATTTCTTCTTCCAGGTCTACTCTGCCCTCTGCAGAACAAGGAAAAATTCAGAACAAAGTCAGGGGAATGGATAGCTTAGGAGGACTCTCTCAGGTGCTGTAGGCGGGTGAGGAGGTTTGCCGTTGAGGTACCCCAGACACATGGCAGCAGCTAGGCCACAGCGTGGTAAAAGATGCTGTATCGAGAGCCCTGGGATCGACTGGAGATGTCTGCCCTGGGTGTCCCCATCTGACCCCATGTCTGTTCCAGGTACATACGTGATGACCGTGACAGCCAACGATGCCGATGACAGCACTACGGCCAACGGCATGGTGCGGTACCGGATTGTCACCCAGACACCCCAGAGCCCCTCCCAGAACATGTTCACCATCAACAGTGAAACCGGGGACATTGTGACAGTGGCAGCAGGCCTGGACCGGGAGGTGAGATGGGCCATGGGCCTCATGGGAGCAGCAAGCGCGACGATCCAAATGTACAGTTAGGCAGTCAAGGATCCAGGTGGTGTTGAGCGTCGGCTCCTGCCTGTGCTGCAGGGAGACAGACCCAACGCAGCGCTCAACCCGCTGCTTTGGACAAGTGGCCAGCTGACACCCCGTGAAATCCCCCAGAGCAGGCCAAGTGGTGCAGCAACACCTCGGGGACTCAGAAAAGCCAGGATGAACCCCCTTGCTCTCGGGATCCTGCCAGCATTGTACTCCAGATCTAGGGTCCTTGGAAGCCTGCCTCCCTGAGCTGTCTAGACATGCTCGACCACAAGTGAGTAACTGTGTGTCTCCCAGGACATACCATGCACAAGAGGATGTTCCTGGGAGCCCCACTGAGCACAAACGCACCCACAACCGCGGGGCTCCTATGTGGAAGTGTGGCTGCAGCTTCCTAGCTGTACTCTGTCTTGGTGGCCGGGCTGTCCCTGTCTCAGGTTTCCGAAAGCTCCACAGCCTCAGCCTCAGCCTCTGGGCCTGCAGGGACTTCAGCACAAGCCTGGGCTGCTCAGCTGTAACTAGCGGCTCGTGGTGGCAGGCCATGGGAGCAGGCTGGCAAGGAAGTGGCGGATCTCCTCCCTAGGAGTTCTCACGTCTGAGAGCTAAGGGGCACCTGAGGCCTTCAATTCCCAACTTGACTCTAAAGCTCAGAGGTCTCTGGAAAACTCAAACTACTCTGGCCATCTAAGTTGTAAGAGGCAGTGCACAGGGTGGTACTTGGACAGTGACCCTTTGTGGCTATGTGCCTCGGAAAGAAGGGGTAATGGCTTTGGAGACAGGATGGGTTGGACTGTCTCCAGGCATTTGTGAACTGTGACGTGGATAGTGGTAACAGCACAGGACACAGCCAGAGCCAAGGCACTACCTGGCCTACCACAGAAGCAGCAGGCTATGTGACAGGCCATAGAGGGCCATTTCTCCGCCACACCCACCACCCCTGCTCCAGCTAGGCACGAACACGGCCAAATCTAAAAGACCACACCAAGGTTCCTCCTCGTTATCTCTCCTGGCTTAGGGGAGGGTACCACGGACAGGTCTCTCCTGCACCCACTTCCTGCTCAAGGCAGTGAGCTATCCTTATGACGTGGGAAACCCACAGGCATGGTTGCTGTGCATCTAATTAGGAGAGCTGTATGAAGTGAGCGCTTCTGCATGATTAAATGTCAGGAGAAACTCAGAAGGGCTCAAGTGGCTCTCGGGTCCCTGCCCCACCTGCTAATCCCGCTCATCTTCCCACATTCCCTAATTAGAATATTTATGGCCTAATAAGAAGATTGGGCGCCACTCCCGGCTGCTCTGAAGGTGAGAGCCAGGCTTTGGAAGCAGCAGGGGGTTCTGATTGCTTAGCTTCATGATTAGCATCTAGCCATACTGTGTCCACACGTGCCATGCTGTCCTCCGTGGGGCTGATTTCACTGTCACGGGCTCCATCCAGGTCAGGTCCCACCACACGGTGACCATCAGCTGGTCACTTTCCTCAGTCTCAAACTTCTCAACACGGTAGGCCAGGTTAATTATCCCGGGGTTGGAAAAGACCCCGAGGAAATCCAGACCAGCCCCCTCCTGTACTTGTTTAAACTCATGTCAGATGGAAAACGCTGTTCCCTCCAAAACAGGAGGAAAGAGTGAAGGGGGGTAGCACAGAGCAAACCCCACACAGGGGCTGTCAGCTGCCCGGTCTCTGCTTTCCACTGACCAAATGTCTCCTGACTCGAGAGTGGGGTGCACGCAGGCATGGGCCCCCGTTCTCTCGGGCAGCGTGGAGCACAGCTCCCAGGGTCCCAGCCAGGCTGTGCAATCGGATCCAAGCAGAAACGAGTTTTTTCTGCGGTGACATCGATTGATTGTTTTTTCTTATCACAAAGGCTACTTCTCTTTGATAGAAAGGAAGAAAATAGCAGGCCTGCATCCCACAGTGTGGTGCAGGAGGCATGGTATGAGGCAGGCTGTGGCCTTCCCCGAGCCTCGGGTGCTTGCCTGTCCCCTGTGTTCCTGCAAATGATCCTTGAAGCCACTGTAGCACTGAGTGGCATTGCCCATGACAGTGAAAGAACCCTTTCAGCTTTCCCCTACGCACCAGGGTCTATCCTCTGCCTTCACAGACTCCCCTGTACCCCTTCCCTTTTCTCTGTCCCCATCGGTGCACAGCAGACAGCACAGAGGTCAGATGGGTGTTCTAACTGACATCATGAAGCTCCTGAGTTATGGACAGGACAGGGTACTTAAGGATCCAGAGACAAGATGCCCCCAGGCCCAGTCAGCTCTGCTGCAGAGCCACCGTTCATAGCGCTTTGGCCACTCACTCTGCCCTCCTCTATTGCCACGTGCAAAAGTCAACACACTAAGGAAAGGCAGGTGTCCCTTCTGTGGCCTCTTGTGACTGTGAGCATCCCTTGAGGATACCCTGAAAACATCTTCAGCCTGATGATTGGTGACAGGTCCCCACCTGAGCCCAGGCCAGCTGCTGGTCAGAGTGTAAATACCACCTGAGCCCAGGACAGCTGCTGGTCAGAGTGTAAATACCACCTGAGCCCAGGACAGCTGCTGGTCAGAGTGTAAATACCACCTAAGCCCAGGACAGCTGCCGGTGAGGGTAAATACCACCTGAGCCCAGGACAGCTGCTGGTCAGAGTGTGAACACCTCCTAAGCCCAGAACAGATGCTGGTCAGAGTACAGACAATCGTGACAGGCTGGAGCCACCAGGGCATCACCTCCCTGTGGACAAGCCGACTGGCATGGCTACAGCCTGAGGTTCTCACATTGCCAAGCACCGTAAGCGCTAAAGAGCGGCAGGAGAGTCATAACCCACAGCTATCTGGCCTCAGAGCAGACAAAGCAATGCCTAGGAGAAGACAGGGGCCAGGAGTCAGAGGGGAAGGCCAGCCCAGGGTCTAAGGGAAAGATAATGCACTAGAGAGCAGGTCCCTAAATGACAGGGAAGGCTGAGCTATGGGGCATACTGAGCTGCAGGTCCCCAGGGTTACACCTACCCAGAGGATCAGAGAACCCTTGTACCCATGAGCCTGCAGGCTCCCCCAGGGCTACAGAATTCTCAGCAGCACCCAGCCCACACACAGACGGGGTGTCATCTTGGCTCTCAGCACCCTCACAGTGGAGAGGAGGGAAGGGTAGAAAGTCAACTGGGAGGGAGTCCCCAGCAGCTGGTAGCTAAATCACCAAACCGGGCTGGATCAGTGTCAAAGAGACAGGGGTAGCTCTGTGGGATGACCGCGCCATGGCCCCCTCCTCAGTCAGACACATGTTGAGGATCATGGCTCAGCCTGCATGGGGCTACTTCAACTCCATCCAAGGTCCTTCCTACCCTAGGACCCCAGTCAGTGAGTCAACTGTTGTCCAACTGCCCCTAGAGCCCACCAGGTTGGCACAGATGAGGACAGACAGACCTGACATCACCAAATAAAAGAGCCAACCCAAGATGCAGGCCAGTAGAAATTCTCTGGGCCAGGATGGAGAGACCCCAGCAGCTTGAGGCCCAGGATCCCTGGAGTCATAGGGTAACCAGAGCCCTGGTCACAGTCACTTAGCATCCATGCTAGGCTGGATGGTGGCCCCAAACATCCATCTTCACCCAGTATCTGGAGGCCAGAAGCTTCATTACCCTTTATGGAAAAGCATTTTTGCAGATGTGACATCGGGACCTAGAAAGGCCGTCTGGACTCGGGTACACAGAGATCTACAAACTGGGCTCCAGTACAAACCATGCGGAGGAAGATTTGAGGCAGACACAAGGAAGACGGCTACCAGGCAGTGGGTGGAAGGGAAGCAGAAAGAGGTCTGAGGAAGAGAAGGGTCATGGAAGGAGGGAAAGTGAGACCAGATCATGTAATGGAGTCAGCTCAGTAGGACGGGAGGACATTTGTTATTACCGTGTCCCACACTAGAAACACTGCCGCTTAATCCACCAGGAAAGCTGCCCAGAAAGCCATGATGTGGGCTTATCTCGCTCTGGGTTTCTGGTTGGTTCTTACTGAAGCCCCCCACCCCAGCCTGCTCAGGCATAAACAATACTCCAGCTATCTCCACAGCCCGGTGAGTACACCCCAAAACTATCTCCACAGCCCAGTGAGTACACCCCAAAACTATCTCCACAGCCCAGTGAATATACCCCAAAACTATCTCCACAACCCTTGTTGCCACAGACCGAGTCCCTGCCAAGAGGTGACAGCCTCATCTCTCAGGGCTATTTCTCTGGCATCTGGCCTGCCAGTTTGGGAGCTTTTCTGTGCCTTTTTGTTCTTCCCAGATGACCCACCTGAGCTGGCCTTGCAGGAAACAGGGCTGAGGTTTTCCTTAAGAGAATCTGGCTTGTGGTCATGAAGGACACATAGATGGAGAGTCACGCTTCAAGCAGTTACTAACCATGACATACTGTGTGTGTGTAGTGTGGGGTGTGTATGTGTGTGTTGCCTCTGCCGTGGCTGCATTAAGGCCCTCAGACAGCACTAGAGAGAGGTAGGACAAACTGCCCATGGTAAAGGCATAGGTTGCCATGTGGGGCCCAAGAGGAAGCTCTGCAGAGCATTGTAGAGACGGAAGAGCCTCTCTCTGGCCGTCTCAGGGAAACTTTTTGCAGTACTGGAAACTGACCCCAGGGCCTTGCCTGTGCTGGACCAGAGCTCCACCACGAAACTGTGCCCCAAACCAGGAGTTTTCATCACTGGCTCTGTAGGAAGACATCCCAGCAGAGCAGTATATGGTGATGGATGCATGTTCAGGAGTAGGGCTGCCTGCAGGACGCCACCCCCGACAGACCCAGAAACATCCAGGCACTTCCAAAAATACCCACAAATATTCAGACACGTCCAGAAAACCCAGTGACGTCCAGACATGTCCAAAGATGTACAGGACACATTCAGAAACGGGTGACATGCCATCGGCAAGGACATCTGCGGGGGGGTGGGGGGGGTGGGGGGGTATT